GTCGAACTCATCACTGAGACGTCGCTCCACTTGGGCTTGGAAGCACTGGCCTTCATCCATTGCATAATCGGCTTGATGCCCGGATCTTCCTGCTGTGCATGTTGTAAGCTGTCCTTCCACTTGTTGCTGAGGTGGTCTATCCTGAGCATCCTCACGGATACCACTTCCTTACTCTCTTGCCTAGCACAATTTTCGCAGTCTTCAGGACAAGGTCTTCTTGACAATGTATCTGCGTTGCCTCGATATTTCCCGCTGCAGTGTCTGATAGTAAAGTCGTATTCCTGCTGCTGCTGGGCGGTGCTATTAGCTGCACTTCCCTTCTGAGATCGTTCACCTTCCCTTTCTAGGGTTCGCTTAGGGCAGCTGGATCGAAGATGGCCCCTTTCCCCACGGCCATAGCACCTAGGGCTGTATCCTTTATTGTGATCGCGAACCGCAACTGCTGCAACCTTCCTAACGTGAGGGGAACGATGATCCTGCCGCTACCAGGTGGTGCCGTTAGCTGCACTACCCTCTCGAGATCGATCAACTTCCCTTTCTACGGTTCGCTTAGGGCAGCTGGATCGAAGATGGCCCCTTTCCCCACAGCCATAGCACTTAGGGCTGTATCCTTTATTGCGGTCGCGAACTGTAGCTGCTGCAACCTCCCTGACGCGATGGAAACGATGATCCTGCCGCACGGCTTCTACCTCCAGTGCATGGGCCAAGGCGTCCTTAAGCGTCTCGTGGTGCCCGAGCCTCACAGCACTTTGCAAGACTTCTCAAGTCAGAGCTGACTCAAGACTTCTCAAGTTCATTCTCAAGCCCAGTTCTTGAGAAATGACTCTATAACACCGGTCTGAAACACCGCGCTATGACTCTTAGAAGCTAAGCAAAAAGAAAAAATGTCAGAAAAAATGTTAAGCGAAAACGAAGTGATAGCGCGGGCAGGTAATGCGATGCGGCGGGATATGAGTCGGGGGAACAATAAGTTTCTCGCTAAGTCACAGGCAGAAGCTAGTAATTACTATTTTTGATGTTAAGTTTCCTGCACCTACCATTTTTAACATGCAGATGATTGTGGGTTTTAATTAATAGTCAACAATAATTTTATTAAAGTACTAGCTTCTGCACACGACTTCGTCCGCGTAGAAAAATTGATTTTAATGGGAGTTTATTTTAAGTTAATTTTGTTTATAAGTAAAAGCACATAAATTATTATGTCAATGGTTGCGCGGAAAAGAAGCGGGTAGTCTCATATGTTTTGTTCGGTAGTATATTGCTCGCCAGTGTCCGTCCTTCCTGTATCCACACATTCCTTCCACACGAAATGAAGGGGGAGGGGAGTCTAACATGTAGTGCCACCTTTTCGGACAATGAGGAACTCGCCCCGCCGAGATGGAAGCGGTGGAAGTGGCCTGCTAATATAAGGACACGCACTGCCGTCGCTCGCCTCTTCTTCTCTCACATCGTAATTTACTCCGCTAGTTGTTATTGTACCTCTGTGGCAGTTGGCCACAGAACCGCTAGAAGTAACCGCCTCGCATAGTACGAGTTATCGTCGCGCACGGCCTCTCTTCTAACACACCACCAGACCAGGAGCGTCAACCGCGGCACCGGAAGGAACTCCACCCCGGTAAGTGCGTTTTTTCCCTTTATCCTTTTTTTGTTATTTTTACTTGAGCCTTTTTTTGTTTTGTTGTTCCCCGTCACATTTTCACTCACTCTATCTCTCACTACTCTCTTTGTCACTCTCCTACCGGCTCAAGTGAACCTGCACCTTGACACTGGTGAAGTGATAGATTAGGAGGAGCGAGTGCATCGTCCAAAGCTGTCGCGTGCCACGTGAACCATCTTGTTTGTGGTATCAGGAAACCGCACATACAGTCCACCTAGTAACATCTCGCATAATAGGGACTCAAGAACCCCTAGGCCCGTCGCTCAACCAGTTAAATTGTGTGAATATTTATTAAATATAACAATCTTTATTACAGTGCAAGGGCTTAAAGGTTAAATAAACATGCATATAAAATAAAGTTTTGTTATATTTTATGAACACTAAGCTCGACCTTTGATCTGGTGAAAGTGACACAGTGACACAGATCGGAAGACGCTGCTATCTGGACAAAATTTGAAAATGTCGGGATTTTGGGGTTATTGTTACTGAGTCTGAATAAGAAAATTGCTTGAAATAATACCAACTAAATTAAACTTCTAAGACAAACTACTACTTATTTAAATATCTATATTATAACAAAAAGTAAACCATATTATTAAACGCAACAAATAAAACAATACGTTTTACTATTAAAACTAAAAACCTTTATTATACACTAACAAATCAAATAAAAAATAAATTAAATTACACTCAAAATATTCTACTGAAATAGTGAAAATGAAAAAAAATTGTACAGCAATCACAAATATACGCTGTACGTAATCTAAGAGATTTACAAAGGAAATTTCGAAGGAAAATCAAGGTGTGGTGTGGGATGCCGAATTAAATATTATAGAACATTTATATATATATATATATATATATATATATATATATATATATATATATATATATATATATATATATATATATATATAATTCGTATATATAAGAAAGTTCTATAGATTACCCCTTACTGATTTTTTTGAAAGAGATGAAAGTAAAACGATATGTGAAATAAGAATAGAAGGGGAGTTGATCGAGCAAGTAGATGAGTTTGTATATTTGGGTTGCGTATTTAGCAGGGATGGGAGATATGATAAGGATATAGAACGACGAGTGAACGCAGGAAACAGAGTAAATGGAGCCCTGCACTCTATTGTGAAGAGTCAAAATGTGTCAAAAAAGGCACGTATGGCAATTCACAATGCTGTGTTGGTCCCTACTTTAACGTATGGTAGTGAAAGTTGGGTATGGCAGAAGAAGCACGAGAGTAGAATAAATGCAGTAGAAATGCGGTCGTTAAGGAGTATGTTAGGGCTGAATCTGAATGACAGGGTGAAAAATTGTGTGATAAGAGAAGAGTGTGGTTTGCAAGATGATGTTGTGACCAGGATTAAGAAAGGAATGCTTCGGTGGTTTGGTCATGTGGAAAGAATGGATGAGGAAAGAGTGACAAAGAAAATTTATGTTGCAGAAGTGAATGGCAGAGTCGGAAAGGGACGTCCTAGGCGAAAATTTATCGACCAAATTGGCGATTTATTGAAAACGGGCCAAATTAGGAGTACCCTTAACCGACGAGCATGCATGCGTAGGTGTATGGATGTGAAGGAGGCGAGAGAGGTGTGTCAGGATCGTGCCAAATGGAAGTCTGTAGTCTCTGCCTACCCCTCTGGGTGACAGGCGTGAGTGTTTATGTATTACCCCTTACATACCGGCAAATTTTATCTCTTTATAATATCAGATGATAGTTCTGCCAATGTAGCCCGTGAAATTCAAATTTTCATAGGTCTTTTTGCAAATTGCAGCTCAGTATTAGGTCGTATGTTGATCATAATGTGATACATGACAAAGACTAAACTATTAATAAAGTAATTATATTTCATTAAAAAATACCATCTATGGGCCGAACGGAACCACCATAAAAATATGTTCTACGGCTTAGACGTGAAAAATGACGACCGTAGAAACATCTTAGATGAAAAGCATAATTAAGTTATGTGTGTATGTTTATGTTTATCTAATCTGTTCTTGAATTGGTTAATAGTTTGTGCAGTTATTATCTCCGAGTCGGGAAGGGACGCCCTAGAAAAAAGTTTATCGACCAAATTAGCGATATTTTGAAAATGGGCCACGTTAGAAGTACCCTTAACCGACGAGCATACATGCGTAGATATATGGATGTAAAGGAGGCGAAAGAGGTATGTCAGGATCGTGCTAAATGGAAGTCCGTAGTCTCTGCCTACCCCTCTGGGTAACAGGCGTGAGTGTTTATGTTTATATTACTTCTGATGTCAGTTTATTCCATGCTTCAACCACTCTTTGGCTAAAAAAGTGCTTGTGTGGGTTATTATGTGACACAGTTTTGGTTAATTTGAAGTGATGTCCCTAAGATGTGTGTTTGTTGAGTACTGAAATAAATCTCTGTCAAAATTTTCCAGATCGTAGTGTCCATGTATAATTTTATATGCTTCGATCAAGTCTCCCCGTTCTCTGCGATCTTTCAGTGTCGTTAGTTTATTATTTTTACACACAGATAGTGTGCCGTGGCTCTGTGGGCATATGAAAACATTCTCACAATATTCTGTCGATGTTATTATTATAGAAATATCGATATGGGCTGCCCTATTGACCGCCATTTTATCCTCTCAGTAAAGTTTTAAAATTAATGCAGCTAAAATGATATAAAGTTTATTATTACTTTAATTTTTCATCATCATCATCATTACAGCCCTTCACAAGTCCACTGCTGAACATAGGCCTCCCCCAAGGTATGCCACAAAGCACGGTCCTGAGCCACCTGCATCCATCACCTCTTCACCATCACGAGGCTGTCGAGAACCTTTTTCCCCCAAGAACCTTTTTTTCCCCTTTAATTTTTAGGGACAAATTATAGAGAGAGAGAAGCTTCATAAATAATTTGGCCTTTAAGCAGAGAAATCTTATTTAACTGATTCCCACAAGTTTCTTGAGTTAAAGCAGAAAAACATTTCATAAAATATATATCGGTGTTGACTTTATTAAGTATCCACCTATTTATATTTGATTATATGTATATATATATATATATATATATATATATATATATATATATATATATATATATATATATATATATATATATATATATATATATATATATGTATATATATATATATATTATTACGCATATATTTTATGTGAAATGTGACCCAATGTAGAAACCACGCTTAGTTTGTGAAAGAAACTATACTCGTCGTAGGAATAGAGCTATAGAGTAGCTGTTGCCCCTTGATTTTGTCAGTTTGACTTTGACACTGACTTACTCAGACTTACCTATTCTTTTATGTCATAACAGTGGTGACAAGAGGTTCAATTTTTCAAAATGGTATGCCTTATAATATATTAATCCAGTATATAACTTAACATCAACAATATAATTACTATTTTTAAATTAGCAAAAGATCCTCAAAATGATAGAATTATATTTTAAATATATATTTCTCTTGATACTTATCTTTAAACTTCAGCATATTTTAACCTAAAAAGAAAGATATTATTTCATATAAATTACCTTTGAATTAGCATTTAATATTATGTACATATCAAAATAAATATTTATACGTAATATAGCTAAATATTAAATGTTTTATCCATATTATTCCGGCGTAAATATTCTGTATGTACATTGAATTGAATTTTTTTCAGGGTAAGGTTAAGTGCTCCGAGTTGCGCACTAAAGATAAAAAAGAACTCTTCAAACAGCTTGAAGAGTTAAAAACAGAGTTAACTAACCTTCGAGTTGCTAAGGTTACTGGTGGAGTAGCGTCAAAGCTTTCTAAAATGTAAGTTTTTCTTAACATGTATAATAACATTTAACAGGCTCTCTTTTAGGAACTGCAACCACAAATATCGCGTTCTTATTTTTTTATGGAAGAAAGGCTTAGTAACGGTGTATCAAATACTAAAATATTTCTATGTGCATATATGTAATAGGTTAATGTATTTGATTTGAGTTTAAGAAAGTTCATCATTCGTTTTTGTTAAATAAGGATTAAAAACAAAAACAGTCCTGATAGTAATTGGATATGTGTGGCCCATAGACATCTCCATTTATTATTGATTGAGAATTATAATGCTGATGCATTGTCACCCCTGAAGGCTAAGATGGAATGCCTCATTGTCAGTAATAAGGGTCTCTTGTTCTACTATCACCATACATAACACATCAGCAATTAACCCAGATATTGCTGAAACTTATTTTGCTTTGGATTGCACTGATTTTTGAATATTTTGTACTAAAACAAAGTAATAATATTGAAAAAAAAAATTGTGGTCCGGAAAAGCCGGAAAATGAGTGGAGTTATTATGCCCGGTAGTAAGATGGCTACTAAAACCAAAGCATTTTGGGAATTAAATAACACAGATTATATTGCTTAGAATGGTTTATTTGCCAAGAATTTTAACATTGGTATGATACGAAACAAAACATATTTTTGGGTGTAAATATAACTGATATTTACAACGCATGAAAAACTGTTTGTTTCTTACAAATAGTGCAACGGCTTTGAGAATCTTTATATGTAATTAAATGATCATATATTATATTTAGTTATCTATTTAGTTGCTAGGAGTGTAGCAAGGTCCATGTTTTTCAGTTTTTTTATATGTCTCCAATAATCCTCTGGCAACAACTCTACGACAAGTTAAGTGGTCATATTTTACACCATCACTTTTACACAACTGCCAGGCAGCCGTATCCAAGCCGTGGCAAAATAACGAAAAATAGCATTATTTGTTATTGACTCCACCCATGTTTTCATTGTATGTTTTTATGATAGCAGGTTGATCAATAAGCACATACCTTTTTGATTGTGTAGAAAATCATTTGGCTTTGTGAAGCAGCTCAATTGTTTCCGCATTAGACACGACACGACACTATTGTCATTTCATTTGCAGGCTAAGATTTGCTTGGGTTGGCTAGACCTATACACGAACGTGCCCCTTTCTGTCTTTGAAAACCTTGTTTTCAGGTAGTGGACATCTAGAGGTACAATTTTCACTAATAGTTCCTGTAGCTCTCAAACCTCTATTACTCAATTCGTGAAATAAAAAATATTATCAAAAAACAGATGAAATTGAGTGTTTGGGTTGCATGACTGTTAAACATCAGCAAACTTCAAAATTACACTTGCCCCTAATCCAAATTGTTTGTAGCATGCTGGGATATTTGAAGAATGTCCCTAGTATGGGTCAAACCAAGAAACATACCCAACCTAGCTGCACCTACCCACAGTTTATATCCCCATTGGATTAGTTTTCCTCGTATAAAATATCTGCAGCTATGGCTTCCATAGTATGGTACCATAGCTTCGTCAATGCTATAATTTTGCTCAGAAGGTGCCATGTCAGAAAAAGTTTTATTTAGTAAATCAATCAAAGGCCTAAGTTTCGCAAATTTATCACTATCTGTAGGAATGACATTGTTGTCACAGCAATGTAAGTGTTTCATTATCATTGTGAAATGAAACATGGAATTATAAACAATATCAAAACAATTATCAAAGATCTCTCCCAATGCATAATATACCTGTGTGGTACTACTACATAACCACTGTATAAAAGTATACACAAAAACTATTTCTGGATGAGTTATATTAGCAACGGCTTGCATACAGATTTGTGTAATGAATCAACATTTGTATTACTTCATCATTTATCATACACTCATAGTAATACAAAGGTGACTATAAATTTTTTGGGCCCTCACGATCCTGCCATTGTGGAAATTCATTTGGATTGTGCCTGTTGTGCCATGTATACTGTTGGGTTTTGATAACACTAGGAGTGACATTCCACGATGAACAGCTTATAGATGGAGTGGAGCAGTAAGTAGAAGGTATCTTTTTATCCAACTCTTCTGACAAGCATTCTTTGGCAGTGCATATCATTATTGTGACACGAAAGAAATTTTGAGTCCTTACTATCTGAAAACATATCATATGTAATCTCTGCTGGAACTCTTAGCTGGGAACCTGAAAAGTAATAAATACCTACTTTGAAATAAATTGTTAGTACAATGACTGAAATGAATTATGTAATATTCTCAAAAGAATACCCAAACCTGGGAGATTATGTAATGTCACAAATTTTTTGTCACCAGAATATTCGTCTATTATTTCAGTATTTGTATTTTCAACCCGCTCGCCAAGCGTGGCAACTATGGCAATATACCCCCCATGCGCTCAGCGAGCTATGGAGAGGGCTATGCTCGGAGTTTCTCTGCGTGATAGACTCAGAAATGAGGATATCCGCAGTAAAACCAGATTGACCGACATAGCCCAACGGATTAGTAAGCTGAAGTGGCCATGGGCCGGCCATATAGCTCGAAGAACCGATAACCGATGGGGAAGAAAGGTTCTCGAGTGGCAGCCTCGTACCGGTAGGCGTAGTGTAGGGCGACCCCCACTAGATGGAGTGACGACCTGGTAAGATATGCAGGAAGTCGATGGATGCAGGTGGCTCAGGACCGTGCTTTGTGGCATTACTTGGGGGAGGCCTATGTTCAGCAGTGGACTTGTGAAGGGCTGTGATGATGATGATGATGATGATTGTATTTTCTGGTGGAAAAATTGTTATTTCACTGGGCAGATCATCATCTCATTTCACTGGGCAGATCATAATCTGTATGGCTCAATTCATCAACTATTTTGAGATTCAAAGGTTGTTTTATCAGTAATCTAAAACATGATAGTAAGACGTCAATTTTACTAGTGGGCGTTAGAACGCCATGAGTTTCTGAATTTATTTCATTTTACATTTATATTATAATAACAATACTTTCAGCATTCTATGTTGTATTGTTTATTACTATATTTAGGTACTCAAAAACTTACCTTTTTGAAGCCATGTCCCATAACAAAATCACTATCAAATTTAAAACACATCTGAACTTCAAAATAATACACACAGTGACAAATAGTTGATACACATTTATAGGGACTGTCTCTGATTAAGATAATGTAAGTTGATCTTTGTTTAAACAACATTAAACATAAATGAGATGGCCAGAATGTGCTCCAAGCTGTACAAAAATAAGACTATTGCTATAATTTAAATAAAATAAAAAAAGAATTTTGAATAACTATTAACATTTCATAGCAGCTGTTGAAAAATAATCAAGTTTAAATGTTTTTAAAGTGATTTCTTCTCTTTGAAGTCACTCTATAGCACCTTTAATGTGGCCATATAATACTTAAAAAGATCAGAGTAGGGAAAAAACAATAGCTAAACTCATAAAAATACTTTATTTATGATATCTTATATAAAAACAAGCATTCAATTAATGATAAATTCATACATACATCAAAATACACTAAAGGATAGGATTTTATTTATTTGTTTAATACAGCAACAGCTTACACATCTGTAGTATTACATTATAGGGTAAGGTTATTTTACTTTAGTACTTGCAACACTGAATCCGTCCATCAAGCATTAATAGTCAAATATTTTTTTTTTAAGAGTCAAAGTGTCAATGACAGACTTGATATGATTAACGTTTACCGACTTACGGCACCGTTTTTTGGTATATGATATATGTATGTTTTTCCTTCATATTTGTGTTTGTCGTATTTTACTTTTATTTAATAAATGCCGTAGCCCCACACGAGTGCTCCACTAATTATAAACGGTGTAATATGTAAGTTTAACTATTTTCTGTCTAATACTCTTCGATCAATAATAGTTATGTTACAAAAACTAGTTACAAATAATAATCAAAGACTGAAAAAAACTGCTGTCCTTTTTTTTTTAGCTAAACCGGTTAGGATACATCCTAATCATCTTGCATATACATTAACCTACATAACACTCATGATTTGGAACTTTATTAATATCTACATTGTGTAATAATGATAAAAACCGACTGCCAAAATCAACTTTTTTAAATCTTCATAACTTTTGTCCACTACTGCGTAGCTACATGCTATTTTCTAATTCTTTATATAGAAGATCTGTACTTTCAAATGACATAGATTTCATCTCTGTACAGTCTGGGGCACAGGTTCATACAATTTTTGGCCATCTCCTTTGGCGGGTAGATCTAACACTCAATAAGTGGTATAAAGAACAGTAGTAACAAGTGGGTTAAGCTGCTATGTCACATTGGTATTCTGTGAGAATATGGTCCTTCCCTGGTCAAGCTGACTTGTTTTTGTTACAACCTATAAAAAAAATAACATAGCTGCAGCATGGCTGTATCATATTATAAAATTAGGTTAGCATTCCAAAACCAGGTTCTTTGCAAACTACAAACTACAAACTTTGGAACTCTTTGCCTGTAGATATTGATAATGCAGTTTTATCTTTAAGAAAAAATGCCAGTGCTTGGCTTTTTAGGGTTCCGTAGTCAACTAGGAACCCTTATAGTTTCGCCATGTCTGTCTGTCCGTCTGTCCGTCCTCGCTTAATCTCTGTGACCGTTAGCACTAGAAAGCTGAAATTTGGTACCAATATGTGTATCAATCACGCCGACAAAGTGTTAAAATAAAAATTGGAAAAAAATGTTTTATTAGGGTAGCCCCCCTATATGTAAAGTGGGAAGTGATTTTTTTTTTTAATTTCAACCCTTACGTGTGATATATTGTTGGAAAGGTATTTAAAAATGAATAGGGGTTTACTAAAATCATTTTTTGATAATGTCAATAATTTCAGAAATAATCGCTCCAAAAGTAAAAAACAATGTGTCCCCCCCCCTCTAACTTTTGAACCATAGGTTTAGAAAATATGAAAAAAATCTGAAAGGTAGAACTTTATAAGGACTTTCTAGGAAAATTATTTTGAA